CTGTCATGCAAATATAAGTCCTAATTAAATAAAATTGGCAGGATAAAACACTTTAATATTTTCTTCCTAAAATTGGAGCCAAACCATAGGATAGACTGGGAACCTACTGAGGTTCGCCTCAGGATCTGTGGCTTCCCTTAGTTTCTCTTCATTTGGATTCCTTAACAATGTTCCAGATTTGAGCTTTTCCTAGTTTATTTGATCGAGCTTCATCCTCAAATCTTGTGTTTATCCCTCGGGGTAGATATATGATTTGAGGTAGAGTACTCTTTCATTTAAACTGTGAAAAATATGAGGTCAGTTTGATTTCATATTTTTCAAAAATTATATATATATACGTAAATTAAAAAGTCCTTCCGAAGCGAGCGACGGGATTTCGATTCCGGTGACCGACAGCTTCTTACGGGCGACCCCCAAACATAACTTTCTTCTTTTTTTGTGCCGACAATTAGATATAAATGTTTAAACATGAACAATTTGTTGTAAATATAAGTTCGTGAAATAGAATGACTCTCTTGTGCTTTGGATTTTATTTTATTATAAAATGTAACTGTTAGATGGGGTTTCTCTATTCAACCAACAGTTTACGCCTTGACAAGCCCAAGCTCCCGAGTCAAGTCGTGGCATAGAGTTTGTCAGAAAACATTATTTTTTTAGTTTTATCGACATGCATTTTCTTAGTTTTATCGACAATCATAGTTGTTCTCACCTTTTTTTTTTCAAACGTCGAAATGATAGCTTTTCATAGTGTAATTTGCTAGCTTGCTACAAAAAGCTAATTTATGCAATTTCTTAATATGCAATAAATGAAATTAAATTATAAAATTTTATGATAAATTTTCAGTTATCATATAAGTGCACAATTTCTCAAAATTATTTTTCTTATTATGGGATACACAACACTCAAAATATTATTATTTGCAAAACTAACAACCAGGTGATTATTTTGAAGTACCAAACCGATCCATTTACGCGTATCACGATCAAACTTTTGGGAATTTGATAAAAGTAAAAAATATGAGTTGGTTTTATTGTGAATTTTGATATTTGAGTGAAAAAATTTAAAATGAATGAAAGAGGATGCTAGTTTTATAAATATTAATGTTTTGAGACTTTATTACCCTTATTATAAATCATTTCATTAAAAACTCAACAAAAATCATATATGAATAGAGAATCATGATTCAAAAAAGTAAGGAAAGACTAATTATAATAAAATTGTTGAATCCTAAATTGTTCTTCGTGAACACACCTCGAGAGTTAGAACTAAGAGAGAGAGATATCAAGTCGGGAGAGAAAAATTGTCTTTATTTACTGTCTGAGTTGCAACTTATAGAGATCTCAAAATACAGTTACATGAAAAGAAGGGAATAGCTATTGTAACTGTCCAAATAACTGAATCAACGTGTCCATTGAATAAAAAACACATCATTATACAAAGGAAATAAATGGTTGCCAATTGACTACTATTTTAGTGTCGATCGGCTCTGTCGCTTGACAATCAAATCGATTTCACGAAGGATTATAGTCGATCGATGTAGCCTCATGACCGACACCGAACAAAGTTGCTCGACTGATCAACGTCTACCGATTTTGTTATGGGATCGACCGCCAGTCTCGTCTGCATCTCGCATTTCAGCACAGAAATTCAATCACCTAAAACTCCATCTCAGTCGTACGATCCTTTGAGATTCGTGCTTGCATTTTTTTTGTATACAATAATAATGACTGCAATATCCTATTTAGTAAAATATGTTCTGACTTTGAAATGCAAGCTAACTTACCTGGAAGAATAAAAGACAAAGCACACATTTTCAACACAATAATGGTAGACACTATCACTTGAGGTTTTTTGAGATCACTTCTGTTTTTATTTTTCATTTATTATATTTATTTATTTTTTAATGTTTTGATTTGAATTAAAACATATTTGGTTATGATGGTTAGAAACTTGAATGTTCATAAAAATAAGATAACTAGTTTCTAAAAATAAAAAAACATATAAAAATTATACTAATAAAACAAATTCTTAAAAATAAAAGCAAAATTGAAAATAAAATTAGAGAACAAAACTGATGTAAACACTATTAATTCTAGAAATTTTTACTTGAATAATGGTAATAGAACACTCACGTGACATCTCAATGATCACAAAATGAATTCTCCCAACATCCGGGCCTCTCCTGATGCTTCCTGACATATCAAGTTCATACTCACGCAGCCTGATCATAGATTACTGGTTTAGAAATACATAAGCAAAATATGGGCTCGAAAAAAAAAAATAAAAGGAAAGCTTCAACATCACTAATTAATTCTCACCTTTCCTTAATATAACTAGTGTTTGCAAAATAAATGGGTGCATCTATTCGGACGACCACTATACCATTATAAGTATAAGCTTCAGGATATTGTAAAATATTTCTGTAAACTGTTGTTCCAGGAAGTCGTCCCAACACAGCTGCAAAAATATTCATCCCAAGTTAGCATCAAACTACATTGTCGATGAATATTTTGATTTAGCAATTCATGGACGAAAAGGAGGATATTGGATTTAAAAAGAAACTCAAAAATATTTTTTTTCCGGTTTTTTTGGGGGGTGGGTGGGGGGGAGGTGCTTTTTTTACATTTTTAAACCAAAATTTGTGATATCACATAAAAATAACACCTTTTTTACTTTTAAAAAGTGAAATGCACCGCGTGCTCAGGGGCAATTTATATGTTTTTACATATCTAACACCTATACTTTATTTTTTGGCATTTATAAGCCTAAAACTTTCATATCACATAAGAAAATACATACATTTTAACATTTAAAAAAGTGAAATGCACCTTTACATGCTTAGTTAGGGGGCAGGGGGAGCCAATTCATTTGTTTTTAGATATCTAACACCTATACTTTGCTATTTTGCCTTTATAAACCTAAAACTTTGATATTACAAAAAAAATACCACCACTTTAACATTTAAAAAGAAGAATGCACCTTTACTTTTTATGCACCTTTATATACATACCACCCAATTCGTATCTAACACCTAAAATTTGCTTTTTTTGCATTTACAAACCTAAAATTTTCATGTCACATAAAATAAAACCATTTAAACTTTTAAGAAATGCACTTTACATGCTTAAGCAGGGTGGCATGTCTGTAAAAATTGAAGTTCAGGTTTTTGATATTCAAATACGTAGGAATCGAGTGGTGTGTATGTAAGTCTTTTTTTTTTTCATGTGTGACATAGATTTAAGCAAAAATAACTGCTGATTCATTCCTATACATGCAAGTGACATAGATTTAAGCAAAAATAACTGCTGATTCATTCCTATACTTGCAAGTGACCATTACTAGATCATCCCATGTACTCTCCTTGAGTTATCAGTACTGTATAGCAGCAGGAGCATGCATAGCCAAGTTTATGACCGGATAAGCTTTTCAAAGATAATTATAAGAGTTCACCTACTGAAGGAGAAAATAATTTGGGAGAATTATATACGTAGCACACAATTCTTATCTATTTACATATCTTACACCTAAACATTATTTGCATATACAGTACTTTAATGCTTTAAAGCTAAGCATGAAAATGTGCATTTCACTTTTAAAAGTGATAATAGTACTATATTTTATGTGATATTAAACATTTGAGTGCTAAGTGTGTAAATATAAAAGTTTAAGCGTGGCATATGTAAATACATAAGAATTGTATGCTATTAATGTAAATGCCACAATAATTTTTGCGTGAGTTCATGGGAAAGTAGGCAATGCAAAGGGTAAAAAATGAGCCATCTAAGATAAAAATACTGAGACAAATTTACCAATTGCAAATATACTTGTTGAAGCGATCCATTTGGATCGTTAAACTCACCAACATGTGGATTTGCTGACTCGTGGATGACAAATGCAAGAGAGAAGGCCACCTACAAAAAATGAAGCCTCGGTTATAAGAACAACTAGATTAGGCTCACTGAACACCACATATGGATTAATTGATTGCATAATTGAAGTCGTCTTCAATTTAAAAGCATGAAAAAACAATCAGATTTTTCTTTCTACAAGAGTTGAGTCATGTCAACTTTTAAATGGAACAATTTTGTTGGGTATCCAGATATAAATTTTTTCCCTACCTAAAATACATAACTCTGAATGGTACAAAATCTTCATTGATTATTTCATTATTATTTATATTTTTTTCTTTCTTTAAGTTCCTCAAAATCTGAAATTTTCAAACTTGTACGGATTGATTAAAAAATCAATTATTTTTTTCTTTTAATGATTGAAATATATTCCATATATTTTATTTAAAATGAGGTGATCAGGGACAAGACCCGTAATAAATATAAATCAGCATAAGAATCAAGATAATTTCTTCATAACACATACACTAGGTCTCAAACCCTAGACCGGTACTTTAAGAACCAAAGAATGTACTGCTTGCGCAAGGTCTTTTTGCAAGACAAATCCTTTTTGACATAGCTCATGCCGATATACAAATATGAATTGTTACAGTAGACTGCAATAAGAGAACAAAAGAATCATCTACCCAAACATTATTAAAAGCAAATTTGCATCCTTCTTTCTGCTGAATCCTGTAGAAGGATCCTCTATTTTCATTCTTGGAAGATTTACATACATACCACTAATGTGTTTACATATCTAAACCTGAACTTCAATTTTTATGTATCACGTATCTATGCATGAAAATGTGTCTTTCATCTTTTAAAGGTTAAAATAGTGAAATTTTTTTTATGTCATATGAAGGATTTGGTTGGTATAAATGTAGAAAGTAATGTTTTAAGTGTTAGACATGCAAATACATAAGAATTGGGTGGTATGTAAGCAAATGCCCAACATCCTTTAATCCTGATCATTGACAACCTTCATTTTGAAGCCAATATATCTTTTTCAACCCTCAGTAAATATATCCTATATCCTACATTTCTGAATCCTATAGTGCCATTCAACCTTATCAGTTTGTTGATCATCTATTTTTTTTCAAATTTATTGCTTCCTTTCAGCTATTTAAAATATTAGATGTCTCTAATATTCAATCGAGGAAGATTCTATGATTATGCATTGGCTTTGAAATTCCATGCAGACAGAAAGCACAGGTTACCACATGTTCCTCACCATTGTTCAAGAGATAAAATTCAGGTTTCATTTCAAAGTGATCACACAACAAATGGGCTTAAAATATCATTCCAAATACAAAGCAAACCCAAGAAATTCAAAAAAATATTAAAATTTCCGGCAATAACATTAGTAATATCAAATAAAATTTGAGTGCTTACTCCAATAAGAACTCCAATCTCAATACCAAAGACTAAAGTGGTGATGCAAGTTACAATCCAAAGAAAAAAGTCTCTCTTATCTACACGCCACAAGAAAATAGCTTCTTTATGCTCCACCTAAAAAAATTGCAAGGAATGAAAGAAAAACATTAGAACCACCAATACGAGCAAAAAACTTCTCATGCGACCCTTCCAAAAGTAGTTTTCTTAAAATCATAATTTTTCTAAATAAATATTTCAGAAAAACTATTTTAAAAAAAAGGAAATAAGTGAGAGCAGCTTCAAATAAAAGTAGTTTTCTGCCTTGCAGTATATTTTCCATCACTTTCCTCTAGAAAAAAAAATCAAACTAAAAATCTTGATCAAGATTATCTAAACGCTACTTTAGTTTTGCCGTAGTAATTTAGCACAGAAAAACAATGAGCACCAGTTCTTACTACAAAGTAATAATTGATGTGTCATATTAATCTTCACATTTTCACGGGGAAGGAGCATCATACTACAATAACAGGAATAAGACTAATATTTGGACAACCGGCATATGAATTAGCTAACATAAAAATATTAAAGAAAAAAAAAGAAACTTTACAATGCTTTCATATTCTCATCAAATTTTGTTCAAAATGCATACTGGATAAGCAATCCATGATGAATCAAAGAAATTAAAATAAATGTAAGAAGAAGAAATCAAATGAAGCATGAAAATTATTTTCAGTTAGCATTAGAGAGAGAGCAATGCCAACAATATCAGTATAATAAACTCCTTGAAATACTATAAAGGACACAAAGTATAAAAGTATGCAGTAATAAAAAATAATAAAAATAATAACTTCAAATGGTAGCCTGCATGCATGTAGAATATGATGGTGAGAAAACAGGGAATAACTCGGTCTGTTCTTACCAGACCCATCACAGCAGACACCACAATTGCAGCCAGCGCACACTGGAACAGATGAGATTAAATCTATTTTAAGCAGAAACATTAACTAATTAAAGTTTAAAGATAAGAAAGTAGAATGACCAGAAATTCCTTTGACAGGAGGAGGTGGGAACGTAAAGAAGGGATATCTAGATGGGTAAGTAACAAAATACTATTAAAAACTGAATTTTCTGACCTCATATTAATTTTAAATTTAGATAATGAGAAAAATGTCAAAATAATACCGGACTACTTACATATGGTCATTTTAGTCCCAGATTGTATAAAAGTGTTAAATTACTCCTTGTATTCTTTTAATGGGGTTTAAAATAATCTTCACTGTGGATTATTTCAACTCATATTTAAAAAATATGGAGACTAACTTGACATTTTTATGAACTCTGGGACTGAAATGACCTCCTGAAGTAATTTATAGAGGGTTCAGTTCTCATTTAAATTAAAAGCCATACCTGAGGTATATCTCTAAATAATGGTGTCATAAACAATAGAGCGCATCCCATAATAATTCCCATTGTAATTCCAGATAAACCAGTTTTGGCCCCACTCTCATGATTTACAGCTGATCTAGAGAAGGAACCTGTACTCAATTTGGAAACACAAAGCTTAAATATGAGTTAAGAATTGTCAGCAACAACAAATAAAAGAACTTTCGATCCATCCAGAATTGACCGGGCCAGTAAGCCTTCATACCAGTTGTCGGATATGAAGAGAAAAATGAGCCACATATGTTTGCTACACCGAGACCAAATAACTGAAAATGAAAAGTAATGAAAGATAATTTCTCTATCCAACACATACAAAATAAAAATAAAGCTCCAATGCCTCATGTAATTAACTACGATATGATATGATCCTTCAGAGCTTGCTTCTATGCTTCCAAAAAGAGATCATCAAAGCACTTTGAAGCAATGATCTTGAAGGTGAAGCTCTATATTCTGAAATTTTCTCTTTAAACAATGAGGTTTACGCTTGTCTCAATACATCATGTATCAAAACCCTGAGCTTCATCAAATTCAAATTTTATGAACTTCTGATTTACCGAAGCATATTTTACACTCATATCATTTAAACAATTCATTTATTGCTCTATTTTTTCCAGTGCATATCTTGAAGACTTGATCATGAATTTACTTCTTTTTTTTTGAACTTTTTGCATGAATTTATTTATTTAATTTTCTATTAATATTGATTATATGCATACCATTGAAGGCTAAAAAATTATATTTACTTATCCAACACCTACATCTCTTTACCAAAGAAAAAAAAAACAGATATTCTGCTGTCACCTTACCCAACCTCGCTGGAAATTACAACCTAGAATCCTCCATTAACTCATAGGAGTAGGCTTGACGTAGACAATGGGGATTATAAAACTCGACGAAGGTGTGGGCTCGACATGAGAGGGTAGAAGGCAATATTTTGTTTTCATAAGAGCATGCAAAAAATATTTAGCATGTTGTATTTGAACTGATTTTTTCTCTTAAAGGAAAAATATTGGTTGTGTGAACACTTGGATGAATTATTCTCCATTGCCTTAAGACTTGTTGGCAGGCCACTAAAGGGATTTGATGATCTCATTGGAGACGTGCTTTGGTGAGTAGTAATTTTCAATTCTTTGCACTTCTTTCATACAAATCTTTTGTTATTTATATTAGAGGTGTTGTCTACTGTTATAATCCAAAATAAAAAACTCCTAAATCTTGTGTTTACCCAATTGTTTGTTGTTTTAAGTGAGAATCCCTAAATATGTATTATTCTAGAGAACTTGTACCTGTTCAGCCATTTGTCTTAATTCACCCATCAAATCATCTCCAAAAACTTCAAATTTGGCGTCATTCTATTTGACTCATTCCCTACTTCAAAAATAAATAAGAATTATATGTAATGTTATATTAAAATTCTTGGAGACAATTTCGCCCAAAGAAACCCCTAACTTTCCATCTTGTGTTTCCAGTTTCAATTTTACTAAGTTTTATGTCCCCAACAAAACACTCTAGATCATACTAGAGTGTTTTGAATACTATCTCTAATTTAAATTACTGAATTTACCTATTTCCACAAATAGATCTAGCAATTTTCCAAACTAGGTCACCTCTGGATAGGACTGACCAATCTCTAGTATATATGTGTTTCTCCATATCAAATGAATCCCAAAAAATACCAAACTTTTTAGATCAGTATTTACCACCCTATCGTACAATTCAAGTATTTTTTGTATGATTTTGAGGTGAGTAAAGAAAATTCAAATTGTTTGAAGTGAGACTATCAGATTCTGGACAAAATCTGGAATAAACCATAATTCCACTAATGTCACTTCCAGTTGAGCATTTCTACTGTAATTTGATCTTTTAACCCTTGAAGGAGATTCAGTTCAACTAGATCACCTCTTAGTGATCATGATCCTCCCCAAACAGCTACAACTCACACATTCCTCATCATTCTTGGTATCAGAAATAGGTTAGGTGGACAAGCAGTTGACTTTGTAAAACTCTGTGGAATGTGAGGCTTGACAAAGCTTTTGCAACACTTGATCTTCAACACTTTCTTTTAAGCAATCTCTGTCGTTCCCTTAGTTTAATTTCTTTTATTTGATATTTTATGTTTTATTACAAGAATTAGTTGCAAATGTGCATGTTTGATGCAAATTATGTTACCATTTGTGATAGCACTAACTAAGTTAGCCTCACATTCAAGCCTAGCCAGCTCACTTTAACCTACCTATCCATAATTGAACTTGAGTGACACCTAAACAGCAAGGGATAGCTCCACATTGCAAATTAGGCCTACCCCTTAATTCTTAATTATTAAGGGAAAAGCCCATGTGTCTATTCCTACTTTTAATTTTTGTGACTAAGCTTAATTGTTTTGTTACTTGTGTTTCTATTATTATTTTAGTATATTGCGAAGGTTTAAAAAAAAATTATATTTGCATTTTATCATTTGCAATCGCAACTCATATCATATTTAAAACAACAACAACAACAACAAGTCTTTATCCCACTAAGTGGGGTTAGCTACATGAATCCTTTTCTTCATTGCATCCTATTGAGTGTCATATTTTCACTTATAAATTAAGATAATTTTTATACAATAGGCCAAAGTCTTTTTAGGTCTACCCGTCTTTTCTAACATAAGTCGAATCTAAAAATATCTACTCTCTTGATCAGATCATTAGATGGTCTATGTTTAACGTGACAAAACCATCTAAGACGACTCTCGCTGACCTTGTCCGCCAATGGAGCTACACCAACCCTATCACAGATATACTCATTTTGCATTTTGTCTCTCGGTGTCAAGCCACTACTCCATCTAAGCATTCTCATCTCAGAAACACTTAACTTTTTTTATGTTTTTCCTTTAAAGGACAACATTTTGTGTCATTGAGCATTGCAAGTCTCACCACCATCTTATAAAGTTTCCCCTTTGGTCTAAGCGACACTTTTCTATCACACAATAAGTCTGGCACATTCCTCCACTTCAACCAACCAACTTGAATTATACTAATAACATCCCCATCTGGATCACCATCACTTTGAGCAATAAACCCGAGATATCTAAAATGTTCACATTTTTTAAAAAATTGATCACTTATAGTTACAACTCTTCCACTAGAGTTGTTGCTACTAAAATTACATTCCATGCATTCAGCTTTAGTTCTACTCCAATGTAGACCTCTATCATTCAAGTTTTTCCTGAACTCTTTCTTTAGTCTTATCCACAAGAAGGATATCGTTAGCGAAAAACATACACCAAGATACATCATCCTGTAAATGTCCAGTAAGAGCATCCATAACTAAAGCAAAAAGATATGGGCTTAAAGTCGATCCTTGATGTAATCCAACTGAAATAAGAAAATATATGGTCAATCCTTTTGTTCGAACACAAGTAATAGCTCTAGTATACACTTCTTTAATAACTTGAATATAAGTCATGTCAACACATTTCTTCTCTAAAACTCTCCAAAAGACTTCTCTTAGAACAAGGCATATCATAATTAAAAGAACAAAAAATATTTTTTTAAAATCATTACATTATAAACCATGCCTCTTAAATTAGCAAGTCAAGATTAATCGGATTTAACTAATAAAAGAATAAAGGAGTTTAACATGCAAACCAATAAATAAATTCTCCAACTTAAGAATCTAATCACAAACTTAGCAAACTAAGTCCAAGACATTATCCTTAGGTTACCAAATTCTCCGTTAGTGAACAATCCCACCAACATAAATCATTTAGGAAGAAGCCTTTCTAGAAGAACCTAGGGACACTCTACCACCTAGAATAAATGGCCTTGGGAACAACCCTAGAATGAGCATGTTAGAAACTTTGAAACTGGATTAGAACTCATTAAGAAAGTTAAAGTTGATGCACATTGCTATGACAGAGTCCATAGCCCTAATAACTTACTTGATTTGCTCAACCAAATGGATGAATTCTTTAAGTGGTATCAGATGGATGACTACCAAAGAACAACCTTTATAAAAATAAAACTAACCGGCCATGTTAAAATCTTTTAGACCCACCTTTTAATTAAGGAACAGATGCTAAGAAAACAGCAATTCACATAGATATAAAAAAAGAGATGCTTAGAGATAAAAGAAATCATGAGAAGAAACTTCATGAATATTAGATAACTTTAAGACGGAGCAGTACAAAAGTGGTGGAATACATGAACCAATTTGAAGTCTTAGTTGTCAAGACTTATTGCACTGGTTATGAGTGACAACAAGTCAATAAGTTCACCATTAGATTTAGGAGCGAAATTTGCTATAAAGTAAAACTTTAGGACCCAAACACTTTAGGAGTGAGATTCGGTTGCTACGCCCTACCTCGTCTCTGGGTGCCTAAGTATCTGTCGTGAGCCTTTCCTCGTTTGAACCTCGTCATTCATGTGAAGGCTATGCCATCCTAAGGTGTTGTTAAATGGAATGATGTTTTTCACTATGCATTACTTCTAAAAAAGAATAAGAATGATTCTTCAAACTCCCGACATAGAGGGCCAGGTTGCTGAATTCTATATTCCTCATATGCAATCCAAAGATCAACTACTAGACCTACATTAACACCCACTAATAGCCAAACCAAAAGGATCACACAAGCTTTTGTCCAAGACCAAGGAAATAAATTGCTTCAATTGCCATAAGGGTCATTTGCAACACTAGTGCAAGGCCAAGATTATGTTTCTTGATGAGATTGACGAAGGGTTAGATGATGATATGGTGGACGAAGAAATAGAGGAGATCCATGATGACACCATACTTTTTGATGAAGAGGTGGAACATGAAGACAACACATTGAGTGTGTTCAAATGCTTATGTGCTTCTAGTGAAGAAGATAGTTGAAGAAGAAATATTTTTTTCATGTACGTTATGAGCATGGAGAAAAAGTGTAAGATGGTGATAGATGGAGGTAGGGCTATAAATGTGATATCCACTTCGTCTTATTTAGAGCTGCCCTTAAACCAAGGCCTCATCAAGTGTCATTCCATGTCACCTGAGTGGATCACACTTTCCTATATTTCATAATCAGATGTTTGGTACTTATCAAGATAAGGTTATAATGATCGCATTTGATGTGATCTCCTTCTCATCAAAATCACACATGCTTGTTAGGTCGGTCATGACTCTATGATTTGAATGTAATTAACTATAGAAGAGAGAATGCTTATGTGTTCAAATTCAATGACAAAACTATAAAACTCTTTCATGTGAAACCAACAAAAAAGAGGGGAACCACACATCCTCATAGAAT